TTCACTTTTCGCGCCTTTAGCAGCACATAGCTGGTTTTACATTAGACACAATATATTATCTGATTTTTATGATTCTTTTTACTCATAAATTACATATACATAAACAGCAGCAATATCAGTAAAATCTGATTAATACTAAATTATCAGTAAAAAAATCATATTCCCAAACCGCTCTTTTCTATCCGAATCGGGATTTTTACAAAAATTTCCTCCATGCGAAGGAAACACGTGATCTGCAATCATCACATTCCGCAATATTATTCATATACCACACTACTACACTGTATACTGAAGATCAACTATTTTAATTGTTCAATTCGATCGTTTGTTATTTATTGGTTTTCAATCGTGTCAGTTGAACACAGATTGCTTTATTTCCTTTCAGTTATTTCCTATATACTTTTTATTAAAGTTACAAGCTGTCAAGCAAAGATGCGGTATCAACGCCTAACTTTAAAAGTGGCTTCTTGTTCGCTAACTCCAGACAGCAACTAACTTATCCACTTACGGGAGTCGACTTTGTTACTCGTCTAATTCTCGTTGACATTTGTTTCTCACAATACTTAAATACTGATTTATTTTAAATTTAATCCTATAACTAGCGACTCACCTACGCTCCGCTCGGGTTCGTCCCTACTTACGTTTTATGGTTTAATATAGATTTCTCAGAGATGAGATATATTCCTACAGTAAAAAGTATCCTATAAGTTGACCTGGATAACCATCTATCATCGTACCAAATTTCATCAAAACCCTTCCAGTGGTTTTTCCATGATGCACTCACAGAAAAATTCTAAGAACTATAGATTCGGCCTCTATATCGATTATAAATTATAATGTCTATTTCAATAACATTTTCCAAAAAATATTTAGTGTACAGATTCGTCCTACTTACAAGTTATTATATTTATGGATATTTGCCTTTTTTTCAATTTTTCTTCATGTCGTGTAATACAAAAAGTTAGTTAACAGATAAAGATGCCGGAAAAAACTTCGAAGTGCAGTAATGAATAAATATTAGTAAATCATACAAGAAATAACATATTTAAATTACGACCAGCCAAGCGTTTTTTTTTAATTATAATCAACTACATATATACGTATTATCTTTTGACGACAGTTTCAGTTTCTACTCTCTTGCCTATCCTAAGGGTAACATAATACTAAGTATTATTCTCCCAGCTAGTTAATCCGGTTAAAACACTTGGTAACTTCAGAATGTGGAACGATGTAATATCCTTGACATGGCTGGCCTGCTTCGCACATTACCTACGTGTCCTTTGAAACTGGAGCTTGAATTAAAAATTGTACGAAGGCATTGTTATATTAAAAAACGGTTAACAATGTTATTTATGATGCCTTTGGGCAGATAAGCGTACAGTCTATTTTTATGTCTTTAAGGATGATTTATGGTTAAAGCTTGGGGTCATCAATTTCAATTTCCTATTCTATGTACCTATCAGCAAAGGATTTTGTATTAAAAAAAACAGTTTTTGCCCCTGACTATCTTGCATGCTAAGCAGGACAGGGTAAAGATACCCTATATTATGGGAACAGTCCCATGATACAATCTATAGGTATGTCCTTGCAAAATTTCATCGAAATATCTTTACGGATTTTAGTTTGAAAAGATAGCAAAGAAACAGAGTAATTATCACATTTATAATATTTTATACGGCGCGGCTCACCCTCGCTCGCTCGGAGTTGCTCTAGAAAAACAAAAACAAACCTATTCCACGGAAACCGTACATTTTTCCGGGATAAAAAGCTTATTCCAAAAATAAATATAATATAATAAATAATATAAAAATTAAATATAATATAAAAAAAATATATATAATATAAAAAGATTATTCCAGACTATAATCTATCTCTGTGCTAAATTTCATCCAGATCCGTACAGCCGTTCTGGCGTGAAAGAGTAACAAACATCCATGCTCACAGACTTTCACATTTATAATATTTATATATAAATACTGATTCCTTAATTTAACACAGCAAAAAAATTACTTTGTTATTTAGGTATAAATAGTTTTTGTTAATTATAAATCATATTTCGAAATAGGTCCACTCATAAAGCATTTTTATTTATGAACTAACCTATATTTTCCAGTAATCTTCTAGGCAAACAAAGCATTTGGCACAGTCCATGTAATCCTCACTTATCCTCTTTGCATAAAAATATATAAGCTGGATAATAGCAAAAATGACTCTTTTATGTCTCACATCAAACGGTTCTCGTGAGATATTAGTCTGCAGTCCAAAGATACCTATAAACGCGTTCAACGACGGCTCCCAACAACCTATCTGCGATTTTTCTTACTAGCGATAGGAATTTGACATTATTTGTATGCAGCTTATATCCTATCAAAAGAAAGGACTAGGTAGATAGAACCTGTAGATATATAGGTTACCGTTAAGAACTGCCATAAGCGAAGCAAGAAACGGTCACTAGTGAACAATAAATAACATCTATACATATAATAAAATTGTAACTAATCCGAATCTGTACATTAAATATTTTCTTGGAAAATCTTATTTGAAATAGACTTTATTATTGATACAGAGGCCTAATCTATAGTTTTTAGAATTTTTATCTGTCTGTCTGTCTGTTACCGCATCACAGAAAAACCACGGGAGGGATTTTGATTAAATTTGGTATGATGATAGTTGATTATCCGGGTCAACATATAGAATAAATATCTCATTTCTGAAAAAAAATACAAAAACTGCAATGTAAGAGTATACTAATATGTAAAACCTAAGAATTTGGTCCTCAGAACGCGGGCGGAGCTGCGGGCAATGCTAGTTTTAAATAAAATTATCTTTCCGGTTTATATCGCGGATTTATTCCGATATTACGATATATAAACCGAAAACATAGTTTTGTTTAAAATGTCAAATATTCGCGTAAATCTAATAAAGTATTAAATAAATAGGTACCTACTATTATTAAAGGGTTGCGTAAGGAAAGTGATCCATTAAGGAAATGCGATATATACGAGTACATTACCGTTTTCAATTCCAACTTCCGACGCTAGCAATACAAAGAATTTATTGTTAAATGATAATTAAGGTTTTAACATAACGTATTGAATAAAAAAAATGCTAGGTGGCAGGTGCATACATCAAGAATTGTGCCTAAATGAATGAATGAATAGAAATCTGAACTCTCTAAATGGATTTATCTTTTCTAATAATATATGAACATATTTCAAGTAACTACTTCATTATTATAGACTAGCATTGCCTGCGGCTCAGCCCGCGTTATGATGACCAAAAACCAAATTCTTAGGTTCTACATATTAGTTTACTCTCACATTGCAGTTTTTGTATTTTTTCTTAGAAATGAGATATTTTCCCGCGGTAAAAAGTATCCTATATGTTGACCCGGATAACCAGCTATCACCATACCAAATTTCATTAAAATCCCTCAAGTGGTTTTTCTGTGATGCGGTAACAGACAGACAGACAAAAACTCTAAAAACTATAGATTCGGCCTCTGTATCGATAAAAATGTTTATTCCAATAAGATTTCCCAAAAAATATTTAATGTACCTACAGATTCGGCTTAGTTACAATTTTATCATATGTATAAAAGATATATTGATAACTCTTAAAAAAGATTTTAATATTTGTTGTTATTAAAATTTACGATTGATGGGTAATAAGTATTTTGTAACTACCTTTTTTTCTATTTTTTAGAGTTCCCAGAAATTATACAAGTCTTTATTCTGCGTCATTAAAACTTTTCTTAGAAATATACAACGGAACTGCGATATCAAAGCGCATTCGACCTTCGATTTTTCTTTTAAGAACCGTCGTCATGACAATCAGCAGTTTTCTATAATATCTCAAGGAGCTAGCAGAGAGCAAATTCAAGTACTAAAATAAATTAATTTTAACTCTTGATAATTTAAATATTTTCATGCCGTAATACCGAATTTAGATAAGTAGTTACAGTAAGTTATTAAAATTTCAAGATGTAACTGCAGTTCAATGTTTTATATAATAGAAATTGAAAGTTTACTTTAATGCTCTAATTAAATGCTGTGAGATAATATAGATATTTACATTTTACTTACTATTATATATATATTATATTTACATTTTAACTTCTTTCATTATTTAAAACTAACTTTATTATTTACAAATATACTTAAAAGCAATTTGCATTAACTAGAAATTTTATATTAGTCACTCCAAATCAATAAATATTACGTCCATTAGTATATATCATTAAATAGATTTGTAGCACAATTCATACAACGCGACCAATATTTGCTTCAGTTAAAAAGCTTTTAAGGCATTATATTATAAATCTGAAACGGTAACAAGCTTACGGTACCAAGGACAGCCGCGCCTACGCCTTGACCGGTGGAACCAGGACGGTTAGGTAGAGCTTTACGATTTGATATGTAGTAAGCTCTTATAAAAGCTTAAAAGCATCTACCTTCATTACTTCCTAGAAAAAACTTGCATTTTTAATTAAAAATGTGACCTAGATATTCCGTACAAAACATAAGAGAAGAAGTGCTTAATAAATCCATACTATCCATACTTAAAATATTATAATTGTGACAAGTGTTTGTTTGTTTGTTTTACCTTTTCTTCACGGCGAAACGGAGTGACAAATTGGCATGATTGTTTTGTGTAGAGATAGTTGGAGGGCTGGAGAGTAACATAGGCTACTTTTTACCGCGGGATAATATCTCATTATCACGGGAAAACACATTATAATACCACCCGAAAAATTATTTATGATCAGAATTACTTGAAAATTGGTATTAATGTTCTTCAATACAATTGAATAAATACATGTTTTAGCATTTTTCGAAATTTATCCCATAAGGGGGTAAAATAGGGGATGAATGTTTGTATGAAACCTACCTTTTTAGAGCTTTTTTGTAGTTTAAGCGCGAGCGAAGCCGCGGGTTCTGCTAGTAATAAATAAAAAATAGGACCAATTCAAGCGTTTTGTCAAATCACAAATATAATCAGCAATAACCTGAATTTATAATTATTTTAAAAATAATGACACACATATTTTATAATGTACACATCAATAATAATATAATAGATTCTATAAGGTAAAGATCGATTTTAGTATTAACTCTACATGTGAGTGCCACAAATATATCTTAATATGCATTTAATAATTGCACCTAGAGTAGGTGCTATTTTAATATAAGCTAAAACAACCTTAATAAATATCTGTGTGTTCGGCTTATCTCCGAAAAGGTTCTTTGGATTTAAACAGGACTCAATAGCAAAAAGAGGTTTCAAGTGAGAGTTATGTATTTTTGCTACAAAATACCAGCGTACACAAACTAAGGAGTATTGCCCTTTATTTTAAATTAAAGTTAGGTTTCTTACACAAATTATCGGGAGTCGTTTCATTTCCACGCTGTTGAAAACCATCCCCCACTCGTTTTTTACCGTTTTTTATTATCACAACGAGCCATTTCGGAGCAAATAATTTTGGCGAAGTTTCTAGAATAAAAGGTCGGGCAAGCGGAAAATAAGATGAAATTGAATCTACGTCCCGTTGATATAAATAAGGGTTGAATTTCGTGGTAAAATTTGGTAAAAAAATGTATTTTTATATATAAATAAAAATTTTTTTTTTTTTTTTTTTTTTATCTCTATTTTTATTTAGGGACTTTTATCCTTTTCGGACATGTCAGTCCCATCATATCTTAACCTAAGTACAGCATCACATATATATTATGGAAAAAGGGAAATAGATTCAATGCTGCAAAACCATATCCACCAAAATTTTAACAACATCAATACTTATTGGGTTCGCTAATATACTTAAGTATGGTCCAATATCATATCTATTAATATTAAGTTTTTGCATTATTGATTCCCTCTCTCTTTGATGTTTAACACATTCTACAAGGATGTGTTGAACATCGTCTATCATGTTACAACTACTACATAAGGGTGAATTTACCTTTTTCATAAGGTACGCAAATTTATTTGACGGATAATGTCCAGAACGCAGTCTATGTAAAACAACAATATATTTTCGATTTAGTTTAATGTTAAAAAACCATGGTACTCGAGGAGGCTCACACTGTATAGTTTTGTACCAAATACCCTTTTCTGTGCTTCTTTCGTCGAAATATTCTTTAAATTTTTTACAACAGATAATTTTAAATTTATTAAGTATTTCAGTGTAATAAGGCAAAATATTAAATTCAACTCCTTCCGAAATGGCTAGCTTAGCTAACTTGTCAGCCTCCTCGTTACCACTTAAGCCTATATGAGATGGAACCCATTGCAATCTTAGATTTATTTGAGAGTTATTCAGCATGTGTATCCTTTTTAACACATTGTAGGCTATCGGTATACCTCTGCTATAACCAGAGGTGCACCGAGCCAAATGCTCTAAAGCGCTTTTGCTATCGGTGAGTATAACAAAATTTCCATAATCAAAATTCCTTATCATATAGTTAATTGCTTCTAATATTGCAAGGAGTTCCATGGTCATAATTGACACTGGAGCGTCTACTTTTAACATACTAGATATTTGGTTTAATGGATCATAAAAGGCAGCACCGAGTTTATCATTCTTTTTTGCTCCATCGGTAAAGATTTTAAACCAATTTGGATACTTCCTGTTTATTTCATTTAAAATGTCAAATTTAATATAATTCTCTAAATTCTTTTTCGATTTTTTAACGCAATCTAAATTTAAGCTTATAACATTATTTAAACCTATATAGCTCAACCATATATCTAATTTAAACATTTCCAAAGGGTATGAGTTTTGGACCACACAATCTTTACAGTCACTATAAGCTGTACATAGCAAAGGTTTTTAGCACGCTGCCAATATCTTTCGCAAATTGGTGCACAAAGGTTATTTAAAAGATCTATGGTAACATTATTTGATCGAGACATACTTTTACTACAAAACTTAAGGGCAAGATAATGTCTTCTCAGAGATAATGGTGGTATACATAGCTCACTTTCCATAACGTGGATTGGTGTACTTTTTATAAATCCTCCTATTATTCTGAGGACAGTATTTTGAACCTTGTCAAGCTTAGATAAATGAGTTTTTGCACAATTAGCATATAAAAAACAGCCAAAATCAAATTTACTTCTAACCAATGATATGTATAAGGTACGAAGATGCTTAGGGTGAATTCCCCAGCCTGGGCCTGTAAGTATCCTAAGTAAATTTAAACATTTAGAAGATTTTTCTACAAGCATATTCACATGATTGCTCCACCGTAGCGATCTATCCAGCGAAAGTCCTAAATATCTAACATTATCTTCAACAGACAACATATTATTATTAACGTTTAAATTAATGTTTAATCTCTTATGCCCTCTATTAAAAATACATACTTTAGATTTCTTTGCAGATAACTGAAGCCCTATATTATCTAGTAAAATCATCATAGCGTTTAATGCCGCTTGTAAATTAGTCTCGCAATCATTCAAATTTTTGTGACTCGTATACAGTACAAAATCATCTGCGTACTGAGCTACAATAACATTAGTGATTTGCTGGCTAATGTTGTACGTAATAATATTGAATAGCAGTGGAGATAAAGGATCCCCTTGTGCAAGTCCTCTGTTAGTATGTCTTTCATCTAAAATACTACTTCCTTGACCGAACCCTTTTTTAATTGTAAGGTGTCTTTCGTTTAAGAATGACCAAAGATATCCGCAAATACTTTTTCCTACTCCTAATTGGTCGAGAATATTAATAACTTTATCAACTAAAACATTATTGTAGGCATTTTCGATGTCAAGAAAACAAGAAACTGTTGGCACTTTTTTAGCGAAACCTATTTGTATATAACTTACTAATCTTGCTAAACAATCCATGCACGAGTGAGCCCTTCTGAACCCGCATGTTAATGGCGAAAAAATTTGTTTTTTTTCTATATACCATTCTAAACGCTTAACCAACATACTATGAAAAATTTTACACAAACAGGATATAAGTGAAATAGGTCTAAGCTTGGGTTCAGTATCAAACTCACTACCTAATTTAGGTATAGGGACTATCAATATTTTACGCCACTGACTCGGTACACAGCCCAATCGAAATATAGCGTTATATATATTTAAAAGCAATTCTTTTCCAGACAGAGGTAAATTATAAATCATTGAGAACGTAATACCATCACTACCTGGAGCAGTGTCTCGGTTCTTTAAACAACTTTCTAATTCTTGTAAGGTAAAAGGAGTCTCGAGAAGATCATTATTTGAAATTAAAGTAGGGGCGCAATTAGACACAGAGTCTGGAGTTAGAGATCGAAGTAATTCTTTTTGTTTATCATCTGGAACCGAGAGCTGGGTATGCCGAAGTCCTTTAAACCATTGCATCTTGTTCCACATGTCTAAGATAGATGTACACTCATCAATACTTCCACAAAAATTCCTCCAACTGCAACCTTTCGCCAACCAAAGCTGTTCCCTTACCGCCGTAACTTTGCTCTCCAATATTTCGAGATTATCAGGAGTTGGATTTCTTCTAAAATTCCCCAAAGCCAGTCTTCGTTCTGCCACTAATTTAGATAAAGATGAACACCAGAATTCTCTTGGTTTAAATTTGTTTGTTGGACCAGTATTTAATCTTAGTAAAGGAATGCGCCTATTAGCTGCGAGGATAATTTGACTTAAAAAAAAATCATAGTGTTTCTGAACATCATTAGTATCAAAATTACAACTATTAAATTGAGACGTAATATTTAATAGGTCGCTTTGATATTTGTCCCAATCCGCTTTTTTAAAATTCCACCTTATATTATACTCTACGTTACTACTAAAACACATAGTGATTTTAATCATTAAATGATCGCTGCCTAAATTTTCATTTAATACTATCCATTTAAAATATATTGCAATATCTGAAGATGCAAACGTAATATCAGGCGACGATTTTTGTAACAAACCATTTACCAATTTAATGCGAGTGGAATCTCCGTTATTTAAAGACACAAAACCGTGCTCCAGTGCAGAATCTATTATTTGCAGACCCCTACTATCATTTTTGTATGACCAATTCGTGTGATGGCCATTGAAATCACCCGCTATTATTGTTTTTTTATTTATAAGACTAAAAATGTTATCCCAATCTGCTTGACGTGTTTGGACTGACGAAGGAATGTAAACAGAAATAATATTTTCTAAATATTTACAATTTAAAATCTTTACATGGACAATTTCTATACCTGGATTGATGGCATTGACGGAGCAAAGATGTGATTTTATTGATTTATGTACAATGACTGCTACCCCTCCATAGGAGTCGGGCCTATCCTTTCGGTAAACATTGTATCCTCGAATACGAACAGGTGTTAATTCATTCAACCAACTTTCACATATTATTGCTATATGCACGTTTTCACTACACAATATAGAATCAAAATCAACTAACTTAGGCCTTAAGCTTTGTGAGTTCCACTGAACAATGTTTATATTAAAGTCTTTAGCCATTCCAGAGGTTTAAGAATTTTTCTGCCCACATCCCACCGGAAATATTTTTCATAAATATTAACTTAAACGTTTCAAAAATCGTCTTCAAAACCATAAGGATTTTCTCTTCAAACTTATCTTCTGACATAAAAATTTCTTTTAATTTCCAAATCAAGTCACAGATGTTAAACTTTCTGCTTTTCTCTTATCTTCATCTTTCTCAGTTATCTTATCTATACTATCTTCGTTCTCTGAGCTCGAATCTTCACAATCCATTGATGTTTCCTCCTGTGTGTTTGGTATTTTATCCTTAATTACTTTCTTTCTTTTTTTCTTTGTAGGATTAGATTTTTTTGTTTACATCACTATTCAAATTATTTTCCTTATCTTGAATGTTTACTGAATGTACTTCCACTGTACTTTTTACTACGCTGCTGTATGTTCTAACTGTATTTTTATTCTTATTCTTGCTGCTATTTATTGTGATAACTTCAGTTTCCTCTTTCTTCTTATTCTCCTTTTCATTTCTCAAATAAAGTTCTAAAGCCTTTTTGTACGTAATATTTTCTTCACTCATAATACAGCGAATCTTTTTTTCTTTAAGAAAAAAAGGGCAAATTTTGTCTAATGCCATGTGAGGACCGTTACAATTTGGACATTTGTATTCTTCTGTATCACAATTAGTATGATCCTTTCCGCACTTAGGACATATAATTTTATTCAAAGAACAAAACTTTTTACTGTGGCCAAACTTCCAACATCCTGAACATTGTGTTACAGGAAACACAAATTTATCGACGTCGTATTTACAACCATAAGCATCAATGATCTTTGGAATAGACATATTCTTAAAACATAAACGTACTGATTCACTTTCTATCCACTTATTCTCGCTATCTAAACGTTTCATTCTCTTTGCAGATACTATCTCGCACGAGGCTCTTAGATTTTCTAATAATTCTTCTTCACTAATATCAAGGTCTACCCCTCGTATGATCCCATAAGATAAGTTACTTTCGTCAGTAAATTGCGCCCTTATATTCATTTCTGCTAATTTTCGACTTGTAATGAGCTTTTCAGCCTGCTCTTTACTATTAAATACAATAAATATTTTGTATGGACTTTTGTATTTAATCTTACTTACGTTAACTATACATTCATTCCTCAAAAATCTAGCAAAAGCCATCTGTTTCGGCATAATTTGTTGTGAAAATAAACAAACTTCATATTTTTCTTTTTCTGTTGTATAATTACTATTTATGTTTCTGTTTACAACTACATTAGAATCCATATATGACATATTTTCCGTAGAACAACTTCTAATGAAACGTTTTGAACTTTTCTTTTGGACTGTTATAAAACCATCTTCACTGCCGTCTTCACTCTCTCGCGTACGTTTTCCGTTTTTCCGGTTCTCCAATTCTTGTAACTCTCTTTGACATTCATTTAATATCTCCGAATCACTTTTATCTTCATCGCTTGACTTCTCCTCCATTATAAATTATTGAGGGTAGATATATAAAAAACAATATCACTCAATCGAATAATATTACTGCGTGCGTTCGTCACAACGTTCCGCGCGCAACTGAAATAAAAATTTATAATTTCGTTGAATCAATACAAAGCAAATTATATACTTTCAGCGTATTATCTACATTATGTTACAATTTATAGATATCCAAACACTAATTTTCATTTAAGAATTTTGAATTTTCCATATACCTACTTGTTGTGTAATATTTTATTCACATTATACTGAACAATAATGCTCGCATTGCTACCTTAGAGATTAAAATATTCCCAGGTAGTCATCTTTCCTCGTCTTTCCAAACAAAAAAAAACAAATTTTAATCGACTATTTGGTAAACATTTTATCACTTATTCATAAATTCTCGGAAAACTGCCTCGCACGACATATAATAACGTTTCCTTTCGCTTGCTCATGTATAATTCAATGCTGTTTAACGTATTGCCACCATAATAATAGAAAGCCAGTTATCATAACTGACCCGATACACTCTATTTAGTTTTAATTATTCGTTAGTATACACTACTTTGCATTCCTTTATATGGGAAAAATGATGAAGACGCTGGTAGATGTACCTACGAGTATATAAATATAAGACGGTGAAGAGAATTATGCTTTAATAATGTATTACTTAATACGCAACGTTTTGTGAAGTAATGGCATTGCGTGTTTATAACTAAGACGAACATTATTTATATAAACATATTTTATATTTTATAACGAGATATTTAATAAAAGACCACGATATAAGTATCTTATAAAAAAAACATAAATACATTATAGAATAAATAAAAAATGCCAAAAATTATAATGAAAAAAAAAACAAAAAAAACTTACAAGTGGCTACCATGAAGAAAACTTAAAAAAACTCGTGCCAAAAAATAACTCGCGAAACATTCAGCTTCTGTAAACAAAAAAAAAATAAAAATAAAAAAAATGCAAAAATAAATATCTATATAGATAAATTTGTAGATGATAGTAAAAGTTTAAGCAGACATATTATAGAGTATATCTTAAAGCAGTTTTCAATTATATCTAAGGTTTCTTCGTACTCGTTTCTTGATTTCTTACGAAACAACTCTTTTACGGTTTCGATTTTACTATAACGCGCCTGACACGTCATATTACTTAAATAAACACAGGATTTAAGCCATACAAGTGAGAAAAATCTTTTCTGATCTTAGTTACGCACATTAAATCTACTTTATGGAGCAGACGTTCTTTCTCAAAACGTTTTCTCACGAGAAATTGAAAACTATGTATTAAAGTTATTAGGATTCAAGTAGTTGAATAAAAACCATATGCTTGTGTGATTACTTTATACAGTTGAGATGCAAACATGTGACAAACAAATAAACAGTTCAACTTTCATCTCGCTATTATAAATACCGTTTATAATTTTTTGTTCAGCTTAAATGACAAACGTTGAAAATTTTGATAGTTGTTAGATGTTATGTGTATAAATATACTATTAAATATTATTATGAAAAAATATAATAGCTTTAATTATATATACAATTAAAAAAAACATATTTTTAGACACTAAAAAGTAAAAAATAACTGAATGGATAACGGAAATAATGGAACGAATATTTTCGTAATCACAAATGCAAACAGGCGAACATACAAACTCCTCCTTTTTGGAAGCCGGCTAAAAATTACAGATGAGACTGATAGATTTAAATCGAAGATAATCAAAGTGATTACTATATATAATGAATTAATAAAATAATAATACATAATTACAATGTTACATATAAATTGAAATTAAACAAATGAAACGTCATGACCGGTTATACGCAAAGTTATTCTAGTTGTGACGCATGACAGTTATTTCCTTGGGTTATATTTAAATCCTTTTATCTTCACTAGGCCGGATGCGGTAAAAAGGATTCGAACCACATGTACGTTCGAAATCTTCCCAGTATTACGAAAGACCTTAGTTTCATAATAAATAAAAAGGTATTACTGTGAGAAATAAAAACTAGTTCACACAGTAAATTCCTTTTTATTTTAATTGTAATTATTTCTAATTTCATAACCATAATGAATTATTTTAAAATATACAACCATAATATTGCCTTAATAACTATATGATAAGTATAGTGTTATAATGACGATAAAGATTTAAGTTTTTTAAGCGCTTTTAAGAAAACCTTATCTATATATACCTAACTTAACCATATATATATATATATATATATATATATATATATATATATATATATATATATATATATATATATTATATGTCTTAAGCGTTTATTTCAGACAAGTCTATAAAAATCATCAGAAAGCATGGAACACAGAAAACAGAAATAACATTCTACAAAATTATCACAAAAATAAGCAAAGAAGTTGAGTTTAAAAAAAAACATTATCAAGTATAGTTTGGTTTAGAATTCCCATCCTTTATTCGGAAGTTAAAAATCACTACTACAACTAACGTTATCCACAAACGGAAATACGATATATTTTGTGTACCGACAAAAAACCAATGTTCTATCACAGTTCCTTATACATATCCTGCCACGATAATAGACCATATAAAGCCATGAGATGCATTTATCGCGTACAATTGTCGTTTGGAACATCTCAGGCACGGCTTTTACTTACGAAAATACCACAAAACTTTGAAACTAATAGGACGAGTAACCTTTGGTGTATTCGTAATAAGGATTATTTCAGCTTTTGCTTTTCTATATCAACAGGCGATGGTTTCGCCTAATCTTCTTTTTACATGTATGCTTTATTTTATTAAAGTTGCTAGTTGAAACGTGTTCGTTCGTGCCCGCAGTACCTGTAGGTATTTAGCCCTTTTTAACATCCCACTGCTGTGCTCGGGCCACCCTTCAATACGAAGGGGATCAGGCCATAGTCCACCACGCTGGCCAAGTGCGGGTTGGCGGACTTCACATGTCTTTCGAAAACTTGTTAGGTTCTTTCAGACATAAAGGTTTTTTCACGATATTTTTCTTCACCGTAAGACAAGTGCTAATCATGTTGGAAATGATTCGCACTTAACAATATCAGAGGTGCGACAAATTTGAACCCGCTTCATTCTGTTTCCCAAGCAAGCGTTAGCACTGGGCTGCTACTGCCTAGTTCCTAGCCGCAGTACCTACCAAAGTTTTATGAAAAGTAATTTTTTTTGGTTTCAAACTGACAAAACACTAAGATTGTAATTTACACTATATTTACTTAACAATTTTACTATTTTATACCTTAAATATTCGTCAAAAGTACTAACATTAATTTTAATACTCGTACAGGTAAAAACAATAATTGCAAGAAATAACTAAAATACAATATATCATGTTACATGTACTTACTGTTTATTTAATAAATAACTGTGCGTATAAATAAGTATATAATTTGTACATTTTACAAGGAAAATTATATTTGTATCTATCCCTGTACTTCCTTTGCCTTTATTTTATGTACTTTAAGTATAAATATGTTATTTTCCTTCTACTACTAATTCAGAATGTTATGTTATAATGGGTAAGAAAATATACTATATCATATTCATTACAACAATTCAATTATAATAATACTCGTAATAACACTAGCGACTTACCCTCGCTCTCTAGTTACGTTTTAACGTTTAGTATAGATTTCTCAGAAATGAGATATTTTCCCGCAGTAAAAAGTATCCTATACCGTTGACCCGGATAACCAGCTAGCTACCATCATACCAAATTTCACCAAAAACCCTCCAGTGGTTTTTCTGTGATGCGGTCACAGACAGACAGACAAAAATTCTAAAAACTATAGATTCGGTCTCTGTATCGATAATAATGACTATGTCAATATGGTTTTCCAAAAAATATTTAATATACAGATACGACTGAGTTAGAATTTTATTATACGTATAGATTGAGTAAATTCCTCACAAGATTCACAATAATAGGTTTAGTCAAGTAGTAAGTAAATACTAATAGTTAAAGATAGTGAAGTGTATAAAGATTATTTTTGAAAACACGTAACGCACGAGTATTAGATATGTGTAATTGATGACTAACTTTAATGTTCTTTTTCTTAGAATTGAAAGACACCTTTAGTAGAAAATGTAAATAGCAATATTAAAACAGATAAGATTTTGAATATATGTCATTTTGAATTACAATGAACAGAAAGTTTTTCGGAAGGAAAACTATTTCCAAACACAATTATCAGACAACTACATTTTATTTTAACAAAGCACCTTTGAAAGCTGTGTCTGTTTTCGACCGGTCTCGGGTTATAAATATCGAGGATTAAAGCCAATGAGTCATTAGGAAGTTGATAAAAATACTTTGATGCCTCACAGGACTGCGACTGCAGGTGGTTATTAAACTTTTTATCGATTATTTACTAATATTCTTGAAAACGTTTATTTTAAAGCTAAGTAATTTTATTAACATGCTAACAGAACCCACGGCTTCGTTCGCGCTAAAACTACAAAAAATCTCTAAAATGGTGGACTTCTTACAAACTTTCATCCCCTATCTTACCCCTTTATGGGATGTATTTCGAAAAATTCTAAAACACATATTTACTAAATTTTATTGAAGAGCATTAATATCAAGTTTTAAGTAATTCTGATCAAAAATATTTTTTTGGGTTGTATTATAACGTGTTTTCCCGTGGGAATGAGATAATCTCCCGCGGTAAAAAGTAGCCTATGTCACTCTCCAACCCTCCAAATATCTCCACACAAAAAAATCACGTCAATCGTTCGCTCTGTTTTGACGTGAAAGAAGGACAAACAAACAAACAAACAAACAAACAAACAAACAAACAAACACACTTTCACATATATAATATTAGTATGGATATTATTCACTTTGATGGATGTAATTAAACGCAAGATAATGTCGGTAATAAATAAGCGTTTTAATATGCAATAAGTAAATGCATGCCCATATTCCGATAAAATGATTTATTGGTACTGCATGTAATTTTAATTTAAGAGTAAAAAAATT